GGCCGAGAATATGTATCGGTCTATGACCGAGACGGTACAGTTCCTTATACTAATTCATTAAAATTCATTTTGATAATTCAAAGTTAATAATAATAACTTTTAAACTAGTCTTTGTTTAATAATAGTAACACACATTCCATACTTTAGAATCATTCCTTGCACTAATTCATTAAAATTCACTCAACTTGAAATTTTATGAAATAGTTTAATAAAATTTCATGATATTCATGAACTTGAAACGTTATAATATCCATCAACTTGAAATATTTACAATGAAACTTTATGATATTCACAACTTTGAAATGTTATGATATCCACATGATGCTTCTCCATTTTTCCTAATTAAAGGCGATGGTGAACAAGATTCATCCAAGTAGGGTCATCCTCACATTTTGAGTTCTAGGTGAAATAATATGTTAGAACTCCTTATATATATATAAGTATTAAAATATAAACATAATTTATAAAAAGTAGACACATAATTTTATTACCCCTCAGTCTTATAATAAGTGGTGTCCTATATTATTTTATATAGGCTAAGAAAAACTAATAAATTAATGAAAGAGAAAAATAATTTTACAAAATTGAGTTTATAATTATTTTTCTTTTCTAGAAACAATGCAATACAATAACATTTCTAAATAATATTATTAAAAGTATAAATGAAAAAGAAGTAGTTAATACTACATTAAAAATTTAATATAACACCTAATTTAAGACTTTTTTTTTTATTTTTTATAAATAGTACACTTGTAACACTGTTTTCAATTATTATTTATTTAATTATTTTATTTTATTTAATAATGGTTAATATGTTGTTTTATGTTTTAAATTTCTAAAGATTTATGAATTCTTATGAGTTCGTTGTTTAGGGATTGTTTTAAGTTGATGTTATTGTTGACCAAATTTAGAGGAATGTATATAAGATTTTCTTAAGATTTGAACGTCACAAGTTCATTTTCTTAAGAAATTTGGAGACAAATTATAGAGAGACTCTAAAGTCAAACGAAACCATTCTTCCTTTTGACTTCACGGATTGCTCAGATATTTCCTAGGAGCTTAGTTTGTATTGTTGAGTTGTGATTTGAAACTTCAGAGCTGAGCATCAGGAGTAAAGTTGTCGTGCGAGCTCTGAAGGAAGTTTTGGAGGACCATGTTCTTTGGCATTTTTTTTCTCTCTTCTTCCTCTTTTCTTGGAGAATCGAGATAAAGGAAACTTGCAAATTGACTTTTGTTGAGTTGTGTGTGTTGATTTTTGGTTATCTTGTCCAATTTGTTGGTTGGTCGTTGGATTAAGAAGTTGAATTCTTATGTTTTAGATGTTCTTGTATGTCTTAGAGAAGAATTGATGATCTTAAGGCTTCTTGTTGTTGCATGTTGTCTAATTTGATAAATATGATTATAATGAGATTGGTTCAACTCATACTTCAAATACTATGAAACTAATTTTTATTTAAAATTTAATAACTACCGGTTGTTTTCAAAATTGTTCCAAATAGGTATGTCATCATTGCATTAATTTTCTTATTTTAATATAAATAAGAAAATTAAAATTAAGGACCTAATAAAATTTATCAACTTTAAACAATTTTATTTTTGAAAATCAATACAAAGCAACACTAAAATTCACACTATACTAATTTTTGGATTGAGTAACTTGTGAATTAATAAAGCAATATATTGAGAAGATAATACTTATCTTGTGTATATTCATAATTCTTGACGAAGATTAGTGATTGTTAAATGCATATTATGTGATTTTTAGTTATACCATGGTTAAAAAAAAATAAACATATGTTGAAGATTTATTTAATAAATTGCAATATTAATTATTAATTAAAAAATGAATTAAATATATCAAATCTCAAATGAATTATTTCATGATACGAGTAATATGATGGATGAATAAACATTAAATATTTATTTAAGTTTATAGAAATAAAAATGATTATATGACAACTTTTAGATTTTTTTAAAACTATAATTATTAGTGTTTAATATATCTTTTATACTTTTTGATCTTTATTATAAGATACTTTTAATTCAATTACATGATTAATTAATTTTATTGAGTTTATAAAAAAGAATATGATTTTTCTAATTCTATCCTTTTTTACTTATTAAAGTTTATGCACTAATACTAATAAAATTAATTGATAAAGGACAATTTACGAGTTAAGAGGTGAGAAAAGACATTTATCAAATTATCTTCTCATCATTATAACAATAATTATATATTCTCACAATCTTTAATCTTTAATAGGGACAAGAGAAGTGAAATTAATACTTTATAAAAATTATAACGAGTCTTATAAAAAAAGACTATTATTTCTTTCTAAAATTGGAGTACACATTTTTTTATAGATGATTTTACTCTTAAATTTTAAAATAAAAAAAATAATAATAAAAATTAATCATTCTTAGATAAAACTCAAACTCAACACCTTTAAATATCGTTGAAAGATCCTCTTATGTCAAATTTGAATATAATAAAGTGGTGTTGGAATTTTGATTTATCTTCTTTATTAATAAATATTAAATAGGTGAGGTTGAAACTTGAAATTGAATTTTCTCGTATCAAATTTAAATATAATAAAGTCATGTTAAAACCCAAAATGATCTGTGATATCGTTGAAACATCTCTAAAATTGCATGGCCCCTACAGAATTCTAGATAAAAAAAAGATTATTTCAACAACAGATAGCATGCCTACAATTAATTATTTTTTTACAATTTCTAGCTCTGTGCTAGTCCTATTGCTGTTTTATCTTCCAATCTAAGCCTATGATCATAAATCATAGGCGAAAATAAATCACCAATGCTTTATTTCATAAGAACAAACGACTTTATTCTTGAATTAAATCTACGCTCCAAAGTATAATCATGTACCATTGCTTTCCATGTTAGCTGTACATTCCGAAGATATCTTTCTGTATAAATCACCTTCACACACCAATAATATATCTTCTGGAGACATCATTGAACCTCTGCTCAAATAATGTAGAGCACCTCGCCTGCATTAAAACATTATGCAATTGAGCAATATTCAATGATTCTTGGTTGTTAACCTTTTCGATTAATCAGAAGGTTCAAAACTGAATTTGCTTCATAAACATGTACCTTCCTTTTCTCATCTTTCCAGAACCATGTGAAATACGGGAACCTTCCGAAATTGAAATTTGGCGCAGTGAAGATATATATTCATTGAATGCAAGACCTTTCATTGCCAATGATGATCTCGCAGGTGTAATAGACTGTATCACCTTGGACAAAGATTTTCTGTTTTCATTATATTGACAAAGTAAGTGCCCACATTAAATAAATACCGAAAAAGAATTTGTAAAATGAAAGTTAAGGCCATATACCTCTTCATATCATTTGTTGGGTTGTTCATCTCTAATTGCTTTTTGGCATGGATACCTGTGCTTTTTGTGTAGTCCTGTCTAGATAATTTTCCCAGTGCCATAACATTAGTAGTGCAATCCAACATCTCTGAAGTTAGATCTACCTCGTTCTTACAACCGAACTTAGATCCCACATCTGATATGTGTTTGGCATATAAACAAAAACCATGTTCAGCAATAGTAGACATCATCATCTGCTCATCATACCAACTAAACGTGACTTCATCATGAAGGGACATTGGAGGCTCCATGATACCCTGCACATTCATTATTATCATAAATGGAGGTACTTACAATATAGATGAAGATTTATTTTTTATTTTTCAAAGGCACTTACATTTTGATTTTGTTGGTGATTACGAAACAGTAAGTCAGCTTCAGAAATTAGATTGGTCAGCCCACTAGTAAGTTTAACAACTTCAACAACACCCTGCTGTTCTGGGTTGGCATGCTGTCCTAAATCCTTTTGACAAACACGAAGTTCCCTCCACAAATTTTGTACCATATCCGTTGCCATAGATGGACTGGACTCAACAATCTTTGACTTCAATTTAGAATCAGCATGACCACAATCATCCATCACATTACACACAGCTGTGGTTTCCAAGTTCTCATCTCTGAAATCTTGCACAGCTGTTTTCAGAGAAGGTATATGAATTTCAGTATTTTCCAATAAATAAGAATTTTGTGGCAATTTGTATGAGGACTGACAAACACCAAGAGTGAACGGTGTTTGCTCATTATTCAGAGGAACTTCTAGTGGACCAGCATGACAACCAAAAACTGGTCCAGACATGGACTTCATTCCATTTTGAATTGCTGTCTCAGGAACGAATGTTGATCCTGGAAAACAGGGTATATCAAATGATTTATGTGTTTCATTTAAGCATGCATCACTATACTTATACCATTCTTCCTCTGAATCTTCCAAACTAGAACAAACCAGTTTTTTAAATAATGTGCTGGGGTAGGTTTGATTCAATTCAAACTTACAGGGAATTTGACTGTTGCTTTCATGGGAATGTCTCTTGTAAGAGTCATCATGAACATCTTGAGTATGTCCATTATTTGGATCCATCACCTTACAATCAGAGGCCATCACCATGACTTTACTTTGATCCTTTTTCCCAGAAGATGTTATTGGGAATCCAGAACAATTTGAAAGCCCATAAACAGCATTATATTGACTTTCAAACTCACTGCATGCAGGAGATCTCTTGATCCTCTCTACCTTGGTCTCTGAATAACCAGTCTTCATACATGGCTCATCTAAATCATTTTTCCCTTCATTTATGTCTAGATCTTTATTAACTAACTCCTGCAAGCATGAGTTTTCCTCCATTATGGTTATTGACCTAGCAACTTCCTTCTCAATTAGATTGGATAAATCCGAGGGATAATTCCAGGGTAGTATCTTTGGTACTATCTGATGACAAGCCTCGAGATCAAAAGAAAGTGAGCCGTACACCTTCCGCGCTTTCCTGTCTGGACAGCAAAGAAACAAAATGTAAGTTTTTGTGATGTGAATCAATCATTGTATTATTTGTCAATATTAATTACCTAAGCAGTTATATTCACACACAATGGATTTCAGTTGGTTTCTAGAAGTACCTAGGGAAAAAAATCTTTCCATCAAAATGAGGTCATAATTAAAATGTATTAAGAAAATAGGGAGGAAAGGCATTAAAGAAAAATCTTTTAAGTTTTCAATAAGACTTCTTAAAAAGGGCAATCTAGCACGATGGTCTCACCTAGTGGGATCTAGTGAGCCTAGATGTACATCGAGAGGCTGTTTTTTGGGTTTGATTCATTGTATTTAGGTTTGAGCTGAATAGGACTATTAAGAATGACAAAGCCCTCTTTATAACGCAGTTGCATTTTAAAGACTAGTCAAGCTAGGACAACCTTTTGCCAATTGATCTATGTGTTCAATGCAGAGTCTGTTTGTAATTTGAGTATGTGAGACCTCCAAGTTACAAGGTAGCAAGCAACCTTACTGTGCCAATGCTCACTCTCTAAGAAGATATAGTAATATTGTAGAAAATAAGACATAATATAATACTGTATCATGCACTAGAAAAACTGGTGAGGGCACATCTTGATGCTAATTGAAAAATAGCCATTATGGCAATCTCAAGAAAGACAATTCCAATATATGAACAGAAAGAATTTGTTCAAAGAAAATGAATAAATAAATAACCATGTAACTGATATTGGTTTCCCCCAAGTCAATTTTCTCACAATTACAAAACTGTTCATCCCTATCTCTCTTGATATAAGTATTTTTTTTTTAAGATTATCTAGTCCCAATTGCTGTCTTTTGCAACACAGCTCATCTAATCTCAAACCTAACATTTTTAACCTATTAAATCTTTCCCAAAATCAATCAATAAATAATATAATAACATGTTTTATTTTTTGTATACATGTAGTAAGCTATTGCTAACACAAATGAAAAAATGTAGGCCTTAATGAGAGAGCAATAATAAGCCCAAATTTAGACAATTATGGTTTTCTTATAAGTCTTAAACATGCACACATGCAACAAATGTATGCTGTGTAATACAACTTTTGTGTATTGTTTACTCTGGAACCGTAATACACCTTTGCTGTATTTTTTACTCTGGAACCAGAACTGAAGTTGCATAATGGTTTTACGAATATCTCCACCACACGACTGGACAAACTTTTTCAGTAAAGGAGGATTGATGTTGACTTCTTCCATGACACAAACCTGCAGGTCAGCCACAGAATGTATAAATTTCGCTTTCCATTTTCTCCCTTCTTTCAAGGGATTGGAAATCCTAAAGCACATACCATGTACATATGACAAAGCAACTCATCTGGCAATGGCAATGAAAAAGAAATATGTAGTCTTGCGAAACTAACTGGTAGGCCAGCATTATTACCTATTTTGAAAAAATGACATTGTCATAAATATGAACACACATTGATAAAAACTATAAGTTGAGCAATGATGCATTATTGTAACAAGTCATCTCACTATTGGTGGTCAATATAATTGGCCCTTTTGCTGTCTCAGAAATGTGTCGTATGGCAGCTATACATCCGCTATCCTCAGGAAAAAGGATGTCCACATCCTCAAATAGAATTAAACTCTGGACACTATCGCTTGTAAGTACATCACATTTTCCATGTAACCTTGGAGATGTTCCACCAGGACTATGGGCTTCATCATCGGAAATGATTATCGGTTCAATCATCCCATCATCTGTCTCCTCAACTGCTATACCATTAGGTAAAGCAGGAGCCGGAAGCAACTGCTCATTTTTCTTATGTGAACTTAGAGTTTGATCCAGTAAACTGAAAGAGAAAGCACCATTTAAGATATATTACATCAGAACAGCTTGACAGAAGGCTTCTTACAATGAGTAACTTGATTCTATTAAAATAAGATTGAAAAAGAAAACCATGTAATGAAGACATTCAATATTAAATTCTATTCTCACATTTTCTCCTTACACCCATTCATTTGCTTTTCTATCTCAGTGATGAATGAATTTAGGAGCCCATCCAGCACTCCAGCCAACATTACAAGGTTATTGCTTAAGACATCTAGGGACCTCAACAACACTTCTTAATAGTTTGATCATGCCTTTAACTATCGTGAACATCTAAAATTTTGTTAGGATCCAATTACCAGTTATGGGACTTGAGTCCCACATTGGAAGTATGGGATTCTAGTGTGAGGTTTATAAGCTCTTGAACTCTCCAACCACAACCAAACTTTTGCAGTGTGGTTCTCGGTTCTCCCAAGGTTTTTATTGCCGTTGGAACTTATCAATTGGTATCAAAGCCTTCTATCATGTCTCACATCTACAAATGGGTGGCACAGGTGGTGATGCCAATGTTATAAAATAACTGTTATAACCCTGTTATAACGGAATAGCAGAACAGTCTCTAGGCAAATTGCCATTTGCCATCTGTTATTTGGCATTTTATGGCAATCCGCCATGGCCATCACGCTGTAAATGTTTACAACAGTCCTTCTTCCTCGTGTATTCAACAATTCTTCATCTTTTTTGTTCTATTTGAGTTCCTATTCTTTGTCTTTTTTTTTTTCTTCTTCTCCATCTCCATTTGTTGGGTCTGGCTTGAGTTCCTATTTTGTTCTAACATTGACAATTATTTTTTGTTCCTTATTTTTATGAAACTTTAATGAATTATGATTTTGTTATTTATGATATTTAACTATTTAAGTTGATATTATGTTGTTTTTATTATATTTTGCAGTTTCTTTTTGTTTTTGCATATAAATATATATATATATATATATATATATATATATATATATATTTCATAGTATTTTTAATGGTAATACAACTTTTATTACATACATGTATATATTGTTATTGTGATTTCAGGATATCTATGTTAATATTATGTTTATGACGGATTTTTGGCTCACCGTCATGTACCATTATTTGTTATCAATAACCTTGGTTGATGCTAGTAATTGCAATGTTCACATGGGACTAGTTAAAGGGCAAGTGCATAGCCAACCTGCATGGGCGTTGGTGCTACTGAGCATGGTGCAATGTTAGGATCCAATTGCAAGGTATGGGACCTGAGTCCAACATTAGAAGCATGGGATTCTACTGTGGGGTTTGTAAGGATTTGGGCTCTCCAACTACAACAACTACCTTTGTGGTGTGATTCTCACAAGGTTTTTTTTTTTTTTTCAATCAAATTTTCTTTTCTCTCTTTAATTGGATAATCACCCTACTAGAGGTTGAAAAAATCAATCTACTAATATAAAGACAACAAAGAATCACACAATGCTTTTATCTATTCAGCATATAGTTTATTTAGTCTATGGTATTTCCTCCAGGGCATCCATATTCCCATGTAAATTTAAAAGAAGTGCTGATTATATGTGAAAGAAGAAATGCTCTTTCTAAAACAAAAGTAACAGTCAAATAAGTCAAAAAAATATTGAAGGAAAGTGAAAGCACATGTATAAGGTAAAGTTTGGTCAGATAAAATAACACAGCAACATATGATTTCAGTCACAACGATTCTTAATAAGCATTGAAAGTACAAATTAATAAACCTTTTCACCGCATGTGATTTAAGAGCCTCTCCAAGATTTTGCTTGACAGCAGCCCCCTTTCGACAATCTGATGTATTGATCTGTTAAGACATGATCCATAAACTTTAATATTTTTGCAAATTCATAAACAAAATTACAGATATATAAAAACAAAGAAAGGAAAAGTTTTAATAGGAAACAACTAGAAGATATTTATTAAAGGCTGCTCAAGGGAGTGCGGGGATACATCCTACATCTATTTCTCAAATACTTCCTATTGGAAACTAGGCCAGTATAAGTGCTACACAAATAATTGTTTCCAACAGTACTATTATTATGTCTTTAGGAAAGGAAATTGCTGGCAAGAAAATAGGTGAAGACTTCATATGCCTCTAATTATTGGTCCTCTAATTTGTGAAGGTAATCAGTGGTGTTAGGTGGAGATTTACATTGGCACATGGAAACATTTTTTGCTTTGGTAGTTACAAACAAAGATAAGGTGGCATTGGCAATGTTGAAAATCAACTTGATTTCCAAAATGAGTGTGACAAAGGATTAAAGCTCAGAATTCTGATGGGAAATAGATAAATGCTGAAGCATTTTTTTAAAGTTGTGAACTGTCTAGAGTTTTCTCTATGCACCAAGAGAGAATAGATAGAGTGAAATTAAACAATGTTGTTGATAATGCCTGCATCATTCAGGATTCAAACCCTACTGAAGAGGTTGAAGAAGATTCTCCATTTGTAGGTACAAAGGTGGCCAGAATTTACGTGCTGAAAATGATCTTGATTCCTTTTATAAAGACAATGAAGGTCTGTTTGTGAATGAATTAAGGAAAGAGTATGAGAAATAGGATGTTCAGGCAGGGTGTTATAACATTGATTGTAACTTACAAGGAATGAAAATATTTTCAAACAAAAAAGTGCTGAAGTTGTTGAAACTTGTTTGTGTTTCCAAGTTTTCATAAAATGAAAGGTTAATTTTGAAGATGATTAAGGTTTACTTCTGGATAGTTTGAGTAAAAATTGATCAATAGAATGTTGAGAAAGAGTG